ACTTCTGCCATTTTGATCTAATTAGTGTGCATTGACCAGATCGCCACAGATAGTTGGTTTGAGCTTCAGAGTCACAGAGCAGATCAAATAAAGACAACTACTAGCTCATTTACATTAACTGCTATGGTTTCTCTTAATTTTCAACTCCTGCACTGCCATTCACTTTTAATTGGGAACAGGCTCCATTATCATATTTTCTGCAATTACAAGCTGTCCTCTTACTCTTACTCTTATTTTTCATATGCATAATTACACTGTTTGCTAGCGCTGGAGCATAAATCCTGCAGGAATCTAATAAATGGCCGAGGTTGAAGACAGGAGCAGAGAAACCCACAGCTGGCAGCATCATTGAGCCTATGTGAAGATGATCAACAGCATCATGTTCATTGTTCATCTGCAAAAAAAAAAAAAAACAGAATGAATCCTGGGCTTGGATTTAACAAATAGCTCTCACAGACGAGTTGTGCTGATGTAGAATCAGTAACTGGGCCATCGCTATCATCTCACCAACAGCAGCACAGATAAATAATGGCTCTGAGCCATGTGTGGATGGAGCATCAGGTGCATTCAACCTGTTTGCCATCCTCATTTATGTGTTACCATCTAACATGCTTAAACATCACTGTGGTTTGAATGTAGCAGAAGGTTGAAATGAAGTTCAATCAGTAAAATCGCTTAAAGAATTAATCAAATTAATTGCCATCTTATTTTTCTATTAGTTGTTCAACCAATTAATCAACTAATTGCTGCAACTCTATATGTAAAGATGCCATCTTGGGCTTTGAAAACCTGTGATGGGCATTTTCCATTATTTTTTTGACAATTTATAATTCAAAAATAGCCAAAAGATGAATGATGATGAAAATAATAAATATTTTCAGTCCGAATATTTATACATGTACATTAATACAAAATAAAACATTACAGTGTTTTTCTTTTTCTCCTTTTTTCAGACACTGAATATTGAGTATATAGATTTAAACACACTGAGAGGCTTGTGTAGCATTTAAGGAACCCAGTGGTATATAACTATTCCATTTATTACTGCCCTAAATTCAAATCAAATTAAATAGTAAGCACCAACAAGCGTAATGGTCATTGGTATTTTTGCCTTTCTCTGTGCTAATCTTAACAACCAAAGGAGCCGAGGAGCCTTTTACCTGAAAAAGATTTAGCAATTTTCCGTCATTAAAAATGTAGCAGCAGTAGAGCAGGTGCAAACCTTAAACAGCCCTCTGTGGCTGACTGAAAGGCTGCACAGCTCCTTAATGAGTGCCCTCTTTGCACTGCACAGAGAGATGGGAGAATCTGGCTGTGAATGAACAGCACACTATTGTTCACATGAGCGGTGGCCTGAGCTCCCACTCAGCAGATCCACCGAACACAGCAGAATGCAAAGAGGAAAATATATATGAATTAATCAAAAAAGTTTTTTAACTGATAAGAATATCGTGGCTTTTGATGTCTTGACATTTGTAGTGTGCCATGATTACAGCTTCAACCGTGCCAGTCATAATGGATAACACCCTGTAACCTGCTGTGGATTATTCTGACACCTTGTGCATCTGCTGCTGTTAGACTTTATAAACAGTGATGGCGCTTTGATTCTTCCTTTCAACACCAGTCAGAAGAATCAAAGCACCATCACTGTTTTTAAAGCGCACATGGTGCTTTTTCTTTCCTCTGCTTTATTTAGTTGTAGTATGAATGTTCCTGCTTGCTGTTTTCACACCACCTGTTTGCCAAGATAGCTAGTAAATAAATATGACCCCTTCACATTTCAGATGGTGTATCTCACTGCAGAGCAGCAGAGAAGAGTCCCATCTGAGCAGAACCAAGCCAACTTGGCTGTCTGTCTCTATATAATATCACATCTCCTTGTGTGCTATAGTTCAACATTTAACTTGATTTTTTGATACATTTTACTTCGAGGCAGCACTGAATCGAGGCACAAACCTCTCCCGTGGTAGTACACTCCCACCAAAACCATTTAGACTGGCGAATAAAATCTGACCTCTTGTGTCTTCCTTTAAAAAAGAGCTAAATGCTCCCTGACTACCAGTTGTTGTTACATTTCTGTGTGTGTGGATTAAATACAGTAGACACAATATGTTAATTATGGAGCTTGAGAGACAGTTGTAGGTGTGTATTTGAACTCTGGACAGAGTCAGGCCTGCTGTTTCTCATTGCTTCCGGTCTTTATGCTAAGTTAAGCTAATTGTCTACTAGCTCTAAAGCTGTATTACTCTTACACACTGGACAATGGCATCAATCTTCTCATTTCACTCTGCAAGAAAACAGAGTGTCAAATAACTGTTAGGTTGAGTATTTCATTGAAAAAAGGCTGAAATCCTTTCCCTCACTGCTGACAGAGAATGTGATTTGATAACTTATTATTTCCTAATTTGTGCATGTGGATTGTGCTTCTGTATTTGTATTTCACTCCAAGAAAAGCAACGTGTTGCTGGTATTACTTTGTATTAATCATGTATTTAGTTGAATTTTTAGTCTGAATACCAACACTAAACCTTTGAGGATGTCCTGACTCCTTCCCACCCATCTAACTACACACACCATGGTTATGAAAGTATCCACCACTACCACCCTCAAACTGTGACTTTTCATCTTTTATGGCTTTACTAATCTGAATCACAGCAGATAAATTTGATTTTAATGAAACCGATCAATGGATTTGTTTTCACATTTAATTCTTTAATGATCAGCTGCAGAAAAGTCTAATTAACCCAATGAGAGTCAACTTTGTAAAACAATAAAACATAAAAATGTCAGACACTAGTAGTTATAAAACAATAGTGGGTTACTCGATCAATTGACAAAAAATTCTATCTATAACCGAGTCATTAATGAAGTCATATATTAAGCGAAAACCCCCAGTTGCCTCAAATGTAGCAGTTTGTCTCTGTTTTACTGTGAATATCTTGGGATTTTGAATTGGGGTTTTTTTTTCTTACACAAACAGAAAAGCAATTTCAAGATGTCATGTTGAGGTCGGGGAATATGTGAAACATCAAACAGCAAAATTAACATTCAAATCTGGACAACAACACAAATATGCAATTCAATTACAAATATTCTCCAGCAAACTCTCTGTGCCCTCAGGGTTCCACCAAGCACAGTCACAGGTAACACAGCCACGGTCTGGCCAACAATGATAAGACTATCAATGTGAGGTGATATTTCTCAGCCACAAGATCAAACGACTGTCCGGTTGTCAAGGCAGAGGCTTGGATCAGACTGTTGCTAACTGACTCCACATCAGAGATGCCCAGCATCCTGATTCGTGCCATGTCTTCCATCTTCTGGCACCAGAGAGCTGTCACCACAATGTGGCCCACCCAGCATCACAGTCTCCTGACCCTTTACTCTGCTCACTGTTCTCTCCCTCACCCATATCTCCCCTGCTGGTCATGTTTTGGACCATGACAGGAATGGGTAAAGGCAACAACACCACTTATAACACAATATAGTTCAACAGCATCACAAACTACAACCTTCAAAATGGCCATACAATTAAATCAACCCCTTTCTAAGAGAGCTCCAACAAAAACCAAACATCAGCACCTTCATGAAAACAATATTTATGGAAGGATTGTGTCATTAGACTGCATTAGTTTTAGCTGGGTAATAAACAGGCAACTCAGTGTGTATTATTTCACATATTTCCTTTCTTATGTTTACTCACCTCTGATATGTTTGCCCTGTATACACCACGAGATAAAACTAATTTGTGTACCAGCACTGATTCTGCTGTTAGAGAAGAAGATCAGTCTGATCAGGATCAATATCACCAAGACACTGACCTTATTTAGGTGACAACGTGGTCCCAACCCATGTTAAATACATATTTTTTTTATGTGAAATTAAATTTAGTGCTTCCACTATCAATCACATTCATTGAGTCACAGTGGACCACCCACTTATTTTTTAGTGCCATTCCCTGGTGTCATATCATCTTATAAGTTATTTCACTGAGTTACACAGAGTTCAAAATTGTCAAAAAGAGAGCATTAGTATAAAATCTTTTTTCAGTTTAACCATATGGGATTCTAACTGTTTATTTTTGATGTAGCTGCTGATTGTTTTCTCAATTCAAGACCAAAGATATTCAATTCACTATCAAACAGTCCCATGTGAGCAGCTTAAACTGGAAAATAATTAATGAACTTTCTATCACCTGAATAATCTACTAATTGTTTCAGCTCTAATTGTGATATTTAAGTAGGAGGTTCATACTGTCTGTAATGTGATAAAGACATTGTCCACCTCTAGTGTACAGTGTCTATTACATGGCTGGACAGACTAAACTAATCTGTCTCTTTACAGCCCAGAAGTCAGTCAGAGCCACGTTAGAATAAGACATGTTTGGTTTGTACTTGATATTTATAATTCAAAAGCAACAGACGCCTTGCTGTGTGGCTTTTCAGTCTGAAAGCTCTAGAAGCCTCCTAACTGTGAGCCCTGCATTTAATATGCAATATGGCAGATCAATGGATATTGATCAGTGAATACAGACACTGTTCCAAATATCCAAGTTACCCAGAAGGAGCAGGGAGATGGTTCTTGAGGCCAGTCTAATGTCATAGATTTCCTTTGACTTGTATTTTATTCACTCTCATAAGATGCTTCATAGATAAAAGTGTGAATTTAACGATAACGCATTATAACTAGTAATCTGTTTGGCACGAAATATCACGACACAATAAGGCACCTTGCTAAAACCAAGAAAGAAAAGGTAAATTGACCAATTATTTCATACGGCGTGGCCGCGCGCTCTTACACGCACGCGCATGTGTTAGGACCTGCAATCTTAAAGCTTACTATCCTATGTAATATCTCCAAAACTATTTCTTTTGTACAAACTGCGACAATTAACTGTGCGCAAAATCACCTGAGAAGACAAGCGGCGTCGCCCCCGCGGGCAGCGAGTCAAACAGGGCAGATAAGATACGACAACCCGCCCGGATAATTACAATACTCACGTCTCTGAAGCGATTCCAGTGCTTGATCTTACGGCTGTACTGGGAGATGGTTGACAGCCATTGCTCATCGTCCATAAAATTCCCGGCTTTTCCTGCCTCCTGCCCACTTTTCACGTCTACCTGGAGCGAGAAGCCCACCAGCAGCAGGCAAAGGCAGGCAACGATTCTCATGAAGACCATGTTGCTCGGCCAGTGTGGTCTGGGATGTATCCTACGGCTGATGCTGCTGCGGTCCTCTAGTCAAGGATCCACATACAAGACTGCTGATGCTGCTTCAACAGACTCAATGGAAATGAGAGAGAGAGAGAAATGAGCAGGAGAGGGAGAGGAGAGGGAGAGAGGGGGAGGGAGAAAGAGTTAAAGGAGTTTAGATCCTGCACTAATCATCTATTTCTGCTGACTTGGATTATTTCAGTGTCCTTTTTGGCTTTTTTCTATTTGTAAGCAGCCTCCTCCCCACACACTCTCTGAAATCTTGCCAATGAATCATACAAGTGGAACAGATGTTTATTGTCATAGTGATTATCAGATTTTATTCACTGTATTACGATGCTTTGGCAAAAGGCCAGCGTTTGTCTAATACTTATGGAAACAAGACCCACCGAATCCAGCTATAATAGAATGACAGTAAAAAATAAAGCCGTTATAAATGAGTTCATATCAGGAGGCACCGGTCCTCATATTGGGCTCCATAGACTGCTGGGGGTCTCTGATAGACTCCCAAGTGGCCTCAGGGAAAATGAGGTTCAATTTAGCAGGATTCATTATTGGCAGAGAATGTGAGTGTGAATCAGCAGTGTGTGTGTACAGTATCTAGACAAATCAGAATCTCTCTCAGATGTAAAAGGACCTGGAACAAAGCTTTGTAGTGGCCTCTGTTGTCTAAACTTTATCAGTGAACCACTTTTTATGTGAATTATTTTGGAAATTGACTGTATACAGTACAGACACAAGACTCCCACAGTCAACTTCAGTAATGAAAGTTTAATTAGCATATTAGTACGCAGATTATTGTCCTGATTAATTGATTCTTTGGTGTATAAACTGTCATAAAATCCTGAAAAATGCCAATTACAGTTCCCTAAAGCCTATTGAGATGTCTTCCGCTTCAGCCATGTGACCATAGACAACCTCCCCGGGCATGGCTGCAGGAGGACAATGCAGACTGTACAGAAGGAAATCTTAAATATGGAAAAAGTATCAAGGAAAACCTCAAAACACATACAAGATGACCTCCAAGATAAAGGTACAACAGCGTCCAGTCGGCCCATATATCGCATTCTGAATGAAAGTGGGCTTTTGAAAGAGAAACAAGAAGAATGACTGTATATGTTGACAAGCCATATTTCTATAGGAGAACATCCATTTGGCAGATGAAACAAAATGAGACGTTTAACTGCAGAGGGAGTACATACACAGACGCACAGCTGTTCAACTGATGTCCCTGTTAATCCACAGAGCATATATGTTTTTCATATTAAAACCTTGAGACTAGAATTCAATGTTTCATTGGTTTGAACAGTAAATTTAAGCATACAATGATGTAGTAAAGATGACCTGCAGGACTGAAGAGGTAGCATGTGATATATTCTCCTTTTCCATCAACAATCTGTGACCTGCAGACATTTTCTGTACCTGCACATCATTTTAAGTCTACCCACGTTATCCCTGCTGCTCCTTGAGCTCTCTATGCCCTCGCTCTCCTGCTTCTTCAGCTCTCTATACGTCAGCCCCATGGAGTTAGACATAATCTAGTGTTCTGCTCAGATTCATTTGAGTTTACTGTAGGTTACCAATATTGGAGTAACCAAGGGTAGGATCACATTGTTGTGATGCTGCTGGGCCAAACTAACTCTGACATCAACACAGTTGATATGGCAGGTGAAAGGTTGTCCTGAGTGTGCAGAGCTACAGGAATCAAATAGCAGCAGGGGAAATGTCCCCCAGTGTCAGCCAGCTGTGCACACCAACAGTGTGAGGTGCCGGACATGATATGTTAATCAAAAGGTCACCATCAGTCCTGTCATTTCCAGAATGAACTGTGCTGCAGATTAACACGATCACTCAGAAGCATTTAAAGACTGTGTTCTGCTTTGTACCATTAGCTTTTAAAGATTGTTTGAGAGCTGAGATGTTATTGGGAAGCCTCTCTCTGGAGGAAGTCTCACCGGGGAATCCTACATGTGCAAAAGCTGCAACAGCAAATGGAAAACATGTTGATGAGAGGCTCCGAGTTGTTCATCACCTCAGATTGCAGAGGGCTCTTATGAGCCCTGGCTCTTCTGCTCCATCAATCTGAAGTAGAGACACAGAGACCTGTAGAAAGATCTTGCCCATTTTTAATCTCACCTACAAAGCACTAAATGATCGGCCATTTTGTCAACCCTCAGAAAATTATCAGTGGGAACAACAGCAGATACTGAATCAAATCAAAAGTCTGGAACCAGGATCGATGGAAAAGCCTAGCTTAGTCAATTAGCTGTCTTATTCACCAATCCTGATTCATGGGATAAATTCCAGGTTTTACAGCATTTAGCAAATGAGATTTTCCAGGAAAATCAATGCTTCAAGAACGATGTTCGAGGTGACAAAAACATTTATATTTACACACATCCAAAAAACACAATGATGTACAGTCACTTACATTTTAAACACAGATCAGCTCCAAACAACTTGTTTAACATCCTCTACATATCAGAGTTATGTTGTGGAAGAGTGTTTTTAATTGTAAAGGGATTAACTGATACCATCAGCTCCTCCTGTTCCTCTCTAGACAGATGTTGATAAAAAACCCATCTACCCTGTTCACCAAGTATAATCATTTTACCCAAAAAGAGTTGAGGGAGGAAAGCTTCATTTGAATAACATCAGATGAAACTGCATGCAGCTACATTTGAAGGCTTGCTTATCTATAAATATTTGCTGTCTACAAATGTGAACACAGCACATCCCTTTTCTGTTTTCTTAAGACCCAACAGGAGCTTTGCTGTTTATCATGGCTGTACACATCCTCCTAACAACTCCATAAGGATCGCTTCAGGAACTCCCAGTACACAATTAATTGCAACAGGCCAAGGGCGGATGCTTTACAATTTATTTATTTATACCAAATTCATGCAGAATGTGTGTGGAAGTGTACCACCTCATGCAAGAAAAGAAGGAAAACAGAACCCAAATTTCCAACTGATTTCAACAAAACAATTTAAGAAATATGCTACAGCACTTTGCCGCAAGTCCGTTCATGTTCAGATCTGATGGAAACTTGTCAAGAGTCACGTCATCAACCAGTCACAATGAACACTATCCATCCTGCTGCCATGTTCACTGGTGACCTGCAACACATAATCACTGATCAGTATCTCCATACAAACAACAATTACTCTCATCAGTAGGTCTTCTGTTAAGTATGTTGATGACCTGATACATTATGTTGCACTGCCTGTTACATTTTTTGAAATTTCAAGGGACATCTTCATTAGTGCAGGTTCTGCCTGACCACAGACACAGTTATTATTATTGTATGTGCATATGCAATTATGTCACGAGTTAAGTTTAAAACAACACGAATTTTTAAAAAAGGCACAAATCAATAAAAACTAAAGGCATTTTGCGACTGCATTTCTTCCAGCAGCCACTATTGATGCTTGTTTGTGCAGCTGTTACTGCCTGTGATATGTGCTGCCACTGCAAAGTGTGCAAGAAAAAAAAAAAAAAACAGCCTGAACGCAAGTTCCTGGATAGGAGAACCACCAAAAGCAGTCATTCTAAAAGTTGAGGAGAGAATAAACTGTATCGAGAGGCGTTTAATAAGTAATCTCCAGTGACTTACAGCTGTAAGTGGAGCTGCTCTAAATGTGTAAAGATTTCATTCAATTGGAGTCGAACTGGGTCACACAGCTATTAAAAGTGCAAAGTTGGTGGAGAGGACTCTGAGAGCAGTTTGCAAGTACTGGAGCTGCTGTTTTGCACCGGGGGGCAGCTGCAGAAGGGGTGGAACAAGGTGCAGCACCTTTTTAAATAAAATGTACAAAACAGACAAACTTATATGAACTTATAAATCCCCATCGGTTTCACTCTACATCCTACCAATAAGAAACAGCATTGAGTCCTGTTTGAGGGGATTTCATGGTGCTGCACTTTAGAGCGGGGGGATAAAGTGTTTATACCAAAGTCAGGAGGAAGATTTCTTCAACACTTTACAGCTTATAATAATAATAATAATGTAGAGACAGATTCCAGTAGTGAATCATTACTTTTGACTGTCCTTCACCCACAGCACTGAAATGATAAGAAGTTGATCCAGGGCATTAAACACATACTGTAATGTGAGAAAAGTTGCTTATAGTGACAACACATCACTCTGCCACTGCCCTCAGCTCTAAAAAGCAATTTATTATCTCTTAGCTCACATTTTGGTTTTGTTTACAGTGTGATCTGGTGCCAATAAGAGGCAAAACAAAACTAAACTAAACTCTTCATGCCAATTTAATGTCCTGACTAATTAAATTCCAATTTAAATAAAGGCAGTCATCCTGCTGCTATAATCCTAAAATTTCCGTTGCTTTTATGTCACAGTGAAATTACTTAGTGAGTCACCAAAGAACTTAATTAACAGCTAATCATTTAAGCAATTTATTAAGCAAAAATCCTAAACTTCTCCAATGTAAGGGTTTGTTGCTTTACTATCTTATTTTTCCTATTAGTCCTGTTCATATCTTTGGAGTCTGAACTGTTGGTTGTACAACTCAAGCAATTTGAAGACATCACCTTCGGCTGAAACTGTTATAGATGTATTTCAGTATTTTCCAACGCTTAATAGATTAAACGATCAAAAAAGGCATTTGTTAAAAAATTTGCTGCCTTGCATCTGCATTTTAAACAGTGACTGTCCAAAGTACAAAGTAAACAGCAGCTCTGAATAACTACCTGCTGTTCAAACACACTTGGCTTTGTACCTCTCCTCCCTGTGTGAATGCTTCCAGCAGTAAACAGACGTGGACAGCTGCAGGCAGCCTCCAGATTCAGCACTCTGAATGATAAAGAGCTGCTGCACAGATCACCTGCCTTCTCACTGGAGACACAGATTAGACATTTCAAATACTCTAGCCACGGCTGTACATCAAGGTCGCTCAGGCCCATTAGTGACAGAGTGATTAGTGTGAACCTCAAACGGCGGTGACACTCAGTGGGACAGCCACATTCAACAAAAGAGACCAGACAAAGAAAGACACACTGTCATACTCCTAACAATATCCAGTTTGAAAGATCTGTCAGCTTTGTGTCGCACGATCATTTATACAGCAACTTCTCGTGGGTCAATGTGTTTCATCATTCAAAAGACTGATGAAAATAAGGATTCGAACATGACACCTCTGAGTTAACTGGATTTAGTTTAAAATATCTTTACATGTTGACTTCTTAAATGGACCTGGTCGATGTCCACGCTTTAGTGCACACAACTTACCATGACCTTAAAGGATAGATCTAATAGAGATCTATCGCATAGACAAATAAGCTAATCTAAGACTGAGAGACATTAACCGTGAGTAAAGGCAATACTATTAATAAAGAAAATGACCAGCCTTATCCTTTAAAGAGTAATTAGATGCTTAATTGATGTTCATGTGCTATTAGTTATGCTGAGCATGGAAATCAAACATATCTACTGTATTAAAAGGTCATGTCTGTCAAGCATCATCTTTTCTCCCTGCAGATGTTAACGCCAGCTCTCCTGAATGAAAGCTTAATTTATAATTACACTATGAAAAATAGTGTAGTGTGGTTCTCAATATCAAAATCTACAATGCAAGTCCTATTTCCCAAACAAACTTTGCATAAAAAAAGGCTAACTGGCATGAAATTAAATATGCAAATTAGAAAGAAGTCTAAACAATACGTGGCTGAGATAACACAAGTCCTCAGTTACCAAACGTGATACAAATTCCTCATTACTGAGGGCTCAGTGCAAGTTTTTAAGATTGTTCGAACTGATTGCTTTTGCTTTCACTTATTAAAAAAAAAAATCTAAGTTTTTTTTCTTACTACATTTTAATAAAGGGATCAAAAGGACTGGATGATACATTTTAATCAGCTGATTTTACATCGCAAAGGCTTGTTTTCAGTGGGCAGCCTTTGAAACATGCAGTTAATTTGACTCATCAATGCATGTAAACAAGCATGTGTGCACACGCCTGCAAAGACAACCAAACTGTTTAACATTTTAATTAAAACTGCAGCTCCTGTGTCTCCTCAGGTCTTCTCAAATAGGGAGGCAGTTCCACAGAGGAAATAGGTCTATGGTAACACCAACAGGCAACTGAGGGCTCATTTATCAGGCTTATTGAAAGGGATGCTAGTCTCGAAGTCTCAAGGGTCAGGTTGGAAGTTCCCACAGCAGGAAGCACAGGGCTAACTAATTAGGACGGGAGATGTGGTAGAGACAGAAAAATATGTCGAGTAGTGCGAAAGCAAGCTCACCCACACAGACACGCACAGTAACACGATTTAGTCAGGAGTCAACCAAAACCATTCCGTCATATGTGGAACTCAAATTAGCACGCAGCAGATTTTTAAATGTATAGTTACTCAAAAATGCAATTTATCAAACAAAAATGCCATACATTTGGTGATTCTAGCTTCTCAATTGTAAGAATCTTCCAGAATCTATAGACTTAGATTTGTCAGTCAAATATTAAATGTTTGTATAGGGCTTAAACAAGCTAAACGAGGGACTTCAATTTTATGTAGTTTACACTATTTTCTGATATTTTATAGACAAAAAAAAGACTTCAGGTAATCAAGAAGAGAATCAACTAGTTGGCTCATACTGAAAAACAATCATTCATAGCAGCTCTAGTCCAATATTTTCCTCATCTACACAACAAAACACACATGTGGCCATTTAAATAAACATATAGTGAAATAAAATCCATCTTCAGTGTCTGAGTCTGTCTGTGAATGACGCATGTTTGCCATGTTTTCAGTATGACCATTACTGAGGACATCTGCCCAGCGCATCCTGAATCATGCCCCTGCCAAAAGAAACAAGGATGAACAGTAACAATGAATGTAAATAACTTGCAAATCATCTTCTCTCACTCCCTTTCCCTCTGTGTAGTTATGATAATTGTATTGGCAACTCCCAGGGTCCTCACTGTATCGGTGACCTGAGAGTGGCGATATGCTGGATGTGTACTCCTGACCTACTAACAAGCATGCTCTCAGGAGACGGGGAGTGGATAATTAGGCCCTTTCCTGGGTTTGAAAAGATCAATTTTATGCCCAGACAGTACCAGAGTCAATAGATAGATGGCTTGGCTGGCTAGCTGGTTTTAGATGCAGAAATTTGCATGTCCCTGTCTAGTGATGTCTGTTGACAGGTCAGCATGGAATAGCAGGGCTGAGAAACAAAAACCACCCTTAGTTTCCATCAGTGTAACTTCTGGCCGCTCTACGACTGCCCTCCTGCATGCCAAGCAGAGAGCGTCAGCAGCTGGGGGGGGGCTGAAAGAGCTCTGACAGCAAGAACAAGTACCAGGCTCTGTGTCCGACGTCTGTATTCAGTGACAAACTCGACAGACGAGAGTGGGAACAAGGTCGCTGTTCGTGTGGGAAGGGCACTGATAAAGAAGATGGGGGGGAAAAAGACCCAAGGCTGGTGTAATAAATCATGTCAGTGACGCATTAACATATTCATCATTCATGAGGCAATGAGATGAAAGGAAATGGGCAATACTTGGTTATGATTTCCAGCAGGGTGTGGATGAGACCAGATCAATGTGAAGCTCAACCACAATGTTTCGACAACTATGAAAGCCTTCAGGTTTGGCACACAATTTATTTTTGAAACTATTATTAAGGAAAGTCATGAAAAGCTTCACAAAAGAGAAGATTATTCATGTATGAGCAGATGGAAAACATGGGATGCACCAGTCAGTCACCCCACACAAAAAGGCCACTTCTCACCACAGTCCATTTCTTTTTTGGCAGCTAATAGATTTGATACATACCAGGTGACAGAAAGTACATTAAACCAGTGGTAGAAAAAGTACTCAGATATTTTACTTAAGTAGAAGTACAAGTACTAGAAAACAAAAATATTCCATTAGAAGTAGAAGTCCTGGCTTCAGCATACAGATGTACCGAAGTACTGTTAGTAAAACGTACTTATATATCAAAAGTAAAAGTAATCACCATGCAGCCTGTGTTATAATATCATATTACTACATTCTAAGTTTATGATTTAAGTGTGGAGCATTTTGATATGTAGTGGAGTGGAGGTAAAAAGGAGCAAATCACATGGAAATACTAAAGTACAAGAATCTCAACACTGTACTTAGGTACATGTACTTCTTATTACATATTTGACATTTCCCTTTAACTATCCTATTTTAATACACAGAGCTAATCAAGAGCAGCAGCATTGCCCACAAAGTAACTGGGATTCTCATCCAAAGCAACATCTTTCCATTGCAGACAACAGACTTGCAAGAATAAACCCATTCTAATTACAAAACTGAGATGAAAATATTTACGGGAAAACAGTGACGCTTTTGTTTTTTTTACTGCCTGTTCCTTTAAAATGCATTTTCTGTCATTTCCTGAAGAGAACCAATTGGCTGGAGCCTCAAGTACAAAAACATAAATTTGACTGGATTTTTAATTCTTCAAATGAGTTTTAGTTTTAAATTCCAGTCTTTGATCCATTTTATTTTTCCACAAAAAACTATTCCCAGCACAAAACAATGAACTGGGTTCAAATACAAGCATATCCAGTCAGTCGATATAAAAATAAAAGGCCTATGCTGCCACCTATTGGACAACATCATCAAACCTATTTCAATGTTCTGCTAAGCTACATTCGTTTCATTGCTGAGTTTCTCACCTCAGAATAGGTTCAGCGTTGCAGAAGCTCATGAGAAGTTGATGCTCCCTGCAGAGGTGTAGTAGCCCGTGCAATCGGTTGAATATCTCTGGGACAGCAGCACAGTGCTCAGCTCAAACTCACCAAAACAATAGTCACCAAGTTTCTGAAATGAAAGCAGCAAATATCTTCAAAGAACAAAATCAAGATTTTGATCATCCAAAACCTCATTATTATAGCTTCATCTGTGTTACATTTAATGCATCTCCCCAACATCAAAGTAGTCTAATCACTGAGTGATATGGAAAAGTTGGCTCTACTTCTTAAACTCTGTGGATGAAAGAGGAAATGCTGTCAATCACAAATATGGTGCTACCATGGTAACTGATGATTGAGCATTTGGAAAGATTTTTAGCATCTTATATTTTAGCATTTTAGTTATATGTTAAAAACATAAACAATCACAGTTTGTCAATAAAATTAAAAGCAAAAAAGTTCAAAATATAAATGGATAGTAAAGATAAATGATCAATGTTATGACTTTTCACCTTATTGTAAATACTTCTGAAACGGGTGGGCTGTGACTGGAAACTGATCTGTGATCACTGACTATCTACTTGTTAATTAATGTGATTGATAAAAACACTGGCAGAGTGAGTGCTGAGTCTCATGTCTGTCACACACACACACACACACACACACACACACACACACACACACAGAGGACTTTAGAAGAAATCAACAGCACAGTACTGACAGATGAAGACAGATGTATTCCTCTCAGTGCACATTTCTGTGCTGCTCTACCAAAAGATCTAAATCCCTCTTTTTAAAGACCTGTGAAGTGAAAAGTTCCCGTATCCCAGTGGAGCTTCAAATGCAGTGCAAATATTAAGAACAGCTGAAAAACCAGCATGCAGACAATGTTTTATCAGTTGTATGGTGCAATATTGATGTAGGTGTCCAAAACAGCACACTCAAGATCTAGTCAATGTCCACATTTATTATAGTTAAAACTTTGTCTTCCCTATTTTTCCACATTTTAGGCTGCATTGTTTGTAATTAAGCAGTATGTGAAGAAAAAAGTAGGAGTAATTTCCTCTAACCTTTAATATGTTTCTGGCATCAAAAGCTTCTCTTTCATTCATGGTTTGTCTTCCTGGTCCACCCATGTCTTCAACTGGAAAAACACCAGAGTGTAAAAAAACAAGCTTAGCTTTGTATAGCAAAACAACGGTAGAGCTGTGTTATCATGTTTACTTGCTGCTACAGTTGTACAGTGCAATGGTAAGGTGAGAATCAGGGTCAATTGGTTTGTGATACTAGTTGCTGAAAGCAGAAACAACCACAGAACAGGATGTGTCCACAAGCTGGTAAACATTTTCAGCAGTGACATGGCCCCTCCCTTGTGCTATGTTGTTGGTCAGCCTGGTACAAATTTGAGAACTGGGGCTGAACTTGATCCATGGCCAAAATGAATGAAGCCATTGTCAGAGTTCTTGGAAAACACGTTGCTTGGTGCACGTAAACAAAGCTGTGGCCAAACAGAGACCTAGCTGCCTGATGCTGCCTCGCTACAGGAATTTGTTGCTTGCAATTGTTGGTCAGCACGGCAGCTTCAGCCCAAGCTGAAACATAATAAGGGCACATTTGTAAATAGGCTCAGGACAGTGGCCTCCAATGTGATCACAGCTGGTTACACAAGCTACAGGCACAGATGCTGTTTACATTAGTGTGGGTCAGCCTGTCATGTGTATGCAATGTTTTTTACCATTGGAGTTGTTCCTGAACAGTGTGTTCATCACAGTGCCATGCAGCTTCACTCTGTCCCACTCCCTGGCCATCAGCCCTGCAGAGACAAAATGCTCCACCAGTCGGTCTGCAATTACCTGCAACCTTAAAGAGTGATAAAATAAAATTAAAAAAATAGAAACAGGGATTCAAGCAAGAGGAAGATTTTGAAACAGTGAAGTGTCAGGCTTTTAAATTTATTTTATTTTATTAGAGGATTTGTTACTGATCTACTTACTTGTCAGATCTGTCTTTAACTCTGACTTTGGCATACAAGACGTCCACCATGGCCGGGTCATCATTCATGTACTCAATACCTGACACCTCCAGTGGCAGAGGTTTTCCATCTGTGATGTCCCTGAGGGCAAATGGCACAAAGCAGCTTGTAAGGACACATCTGGAACATTATAGTTTAGGATTGCCTTTAGATGTTTTATGTTTTTCATTGGCTCTGTCAACAATAAGATGAATATGAAACGTTGCTAGATTTGTTTTAGTTTTATTTCCATAAAGTCTCTTTTTATCTTAAGTAAAGACAGTTTTTAGTTAGACAGTTCAAGTCTTTGGATGATATAAAAACCTTGTTTGGTGCCTACCTGATAAAGTTTCGACACTCTTGGAGGTGTTCACATGCTTTCCTGACTTCCATATCATTTAACAGAGTCAGGGTGCCAATTGTCAGGTGAAGTTTTGCAGCACTCTGAAAGATGCTTCCCTCTACTCCATGATCCTACACATCAAATCACAACAATTTATGAATTCAGAATGCATTACAGATGTAATGTGCTGACCTCAAAGACTACATGACTGCTACTGCCCCTCATTTTCACCATTCATATTTACTTTTTTTTCTTAGAGACTGTAGCAGTTAGCAGGTTAGAGACTGTAGCAGTGAGGAAAAGACAAGAGGCAGAGATGGAGGTAGCAGAGATGAGGATGTTGAGGTTCTCTTTAAGAGTGACCAGGATGGACAGGATTAGGAATGAGCACATCAGAGGGACAGCTCAGGTCGGCTGTTTTGGGGACAAGGTCAGAGAGGCCAGATTGAGATGGTTTGGACATGTGCAGAGGAGGGATAGTGGTTATATTGGTAGAAGGATGTTGGAGATGGAGCTGCCAGGCAAGAGGTCAAGAGGAAGGCCAAAGAGGAGATATATGGATGTGCTAAAAGAGGACATGAAGTTAATTGGGGTGAGAGTAGAGGATACCGAGGATAGAGTTAGGTGGAAACAGATGATTCGCTGTGGCAACCCCTAACTGGAACAGCCGGAAGAGGAAGAAGAAGATATTTACTTTTTTTTCTAAAGTACCTTTGAACACTGCTGCAGCACCTCATCTTTAAATTTCAGGAATCCTTCTTGAATTTTGGGATCATTCAGAGGAAATGACAGGAAGTGTGTGAAAGGCTGCTTTCTCCTGAAACTCTCAAGAAGGACCTCAACTCGTGTCACTGCTGATGAGATTGCAGCTTTGTGGGAACCTGTGATAACTGTCAGGCAAAGAAAGAAAGTAGAAGGAAAACCTTTGGTTTCAGAGAGGGCTCTCTAATCTGTTGTATGATGCTCTCAGTCCTTACCAATCTGTCCTTCCACTCCTTGTTTTGGGATGCTGATAGATGTCTTTGTGTCAAACTCTAGACGTCTGCGTGTCTCTCCTTTTTTCCCAATGATGTACCTGCACAGCAAACACACAAAGAAATACAGACATATATTATGCGGCCTAGAAACAAAAGCTGGGGAAGACACAGAACAATCGTGTGCATTTAGTAGATAACTCACTTGTAAAACACACTTGGGACATCAATGGCACAGCGGTATCCTTTATCAGTCTGTTCAATCAAGTGGGTATTACAGGCTTCCTCCGCTGCAAGCTCTTCCTCTTCTAAACATAACGTTAACCCACATACAAAATATTGGTTTCTCTTTAAAGGGATTGTAACAACACCCGAATGATTATTGTCTGAGTTTCCATACAAATATGTACACCACTAATAAATGTCAATATACCTGGTGGTCTCATACAGGAGAAATCGTATTCTTCTTCTTGATAATGTTCTTCCTTAATGACATTTCTTCGATATATTCTTCCATTTATATTGATAAGAGGTGGACGTAAAACTTCCATGCTACAAACTAGCTAACGACAGCTAAACCTAAGCTAGCCTAACAAAATTAATAAATGTCTGGTCAACTCGATGGCAACTTTGTTATACCAGAAAATGTCCAAATCAACGCTATCTTATTTGGTGTTTTAAAGGTATCTTATGTGGGGTTTTAAAGCTAATTTAGCTAGCTAGTTGTTCACAGCATTCAGGTTATATTAGTAGAACTAAGACAACAGTGGCGTCTTAGTAGATCTACAAAAGTAAATTAATAACAGCTCCATGAAAGATGACGCTGGAGAGTCATCCATGTAAGTTTAGAATCTGGTGCAAGAACGTCACAGCTTCAAACGTAAAATGATGTGATTGTCGTAAACTAGTGGTAAAGCAAAAAAAAAAAGAAAAAGAATAAAGAGAAAAAAGACCCAACACCGTGGATTTAAAGTCGTTACAACGTTAGATCTGCTAGGACATCGACGGTAAGTTATAGTGTTATAAAATAGTTTAGTTATATCTACTAGCTGTATCTAGTAACATTAATGTTAGCAGAATATTTAGCTCGCTCGCCCCCTGTTGTTGCAGTTGATAGCTAACGTTAACGTTAGCAATTATGCTATACCATAAACACATCAATGTTAGCGTTTGAAGGCCGATTTGGCAAAGGTTTACTGCCTTCATGAGTCTTCCAAGCTTTATGTTTCACAGATTACAGCGGTGGCAACGACAGTTCTTATGTCTAGTGTGTGTGTAGTAAAGTTTCCTGGACAATGGCAGCGTCTTCTTCGTCATCTTCTGCGGGAGGTGTGAGTGGCAGCTCGGTGACTGGTTCTGGATTCAGTGCTTCAGAGCTCATCCCTCCGAGAAAAGTCCTCTACACATATCCTAAAGGCGCGGGTGAAATGATGGAAGGTGAGATAAAACACATAGCTAAAGGCATCTGTCTTTAAGCTGTCTGCATCCTCCCAACGATGCAAGGGGAAATCATAGCTTTATACTGAGAAAACATTGGGTCAAAATAAATGAGTCCCAGGCACTTTGTGTATCTCACATAATAGCCTATTTACTGAGAGTTGAAGCATGTGCATTAAAGGCTACATTCACAAATCAGAGCATTGGTTTTTCTGAATGATGCATACAAGCCAAGCTCTTAAAAGTTTGACAACTTTTGCAGCTTTTTAGAAGACATTTCCAGAAGAAAAATCCTTGTGCTGCACAATAAAGCCCTTTTTGCTGGTCTCCCAAATATAACAATACATTCATATTTTTCCTAGGTTATACAAGGTTAAGGCTTATTAATGCTAATTAATGTGGTTAGTTTGGCAGCAGAATGATTCATTTAAGAACAGCCAACAGAGTGATAAATAGGACTGCTGTGATGCTGAAGGTCTCAAGCTGTCTCTCAGTTTTTGTGTCATTAGTATTTTTTTAGACTATTTCAAAACACCGAATGGCTCTTTTTCATAAGGCTGAAAGTTGCATGATATGTAACTTGAAATTCTGTTTCTGGAGTATCTTGAAAGCTCACTTCAGGTATTTCACTTGTGATCTTTTAAAGACATTTCAAGCTTTTCTTTTATGTTTTCTTTCAGATGGCTCAGACAGATTTTTATGCGAGTCAGTATTCAGCTACCAAGTTGCTTCAACACTGAAACAGGTTAAACATGGTAAGCTTGTAACTGTATATGTAAACTGTGTTTATTTTGGTTGATTCAACAGAGAATGGCACCTGAATTAAGTATTTCCTGTGTATTTTTCCAGATCAACAAGTGTCACGGATGGAGAAACTTGCGAGCTTGGTGGAGGAGCTGGAAGCAGATGAGTGGCGATACAAACCGATTGAACAGTTACTGGGATTTACACCTTCTTAAATAAAGAGATCCACATGCCTCTGGTTAATAAATCAGCCAATTAGAGCAAAATTGTGGTGTTTATTTCAGCTCATAAATTGTATAACTTCTTTATGGTTTTATTCTTTGTCTTAAGTGTGAAATAAAATGTAGAGATCCAGAATGTGAAATGTTATATAATTACTTTTACTAATGTATGTGTCTGGTTTGCTTTTTGTAAAACAACTTGTTATATTTGACTCCACTTACTAGAATAAACTTCAGCAAAAAGCTTCTTATCATATAATATAAACTAATCAATTCAAAGGTTTGTAATGTATTTTTGATTGCTTTGACAAATAATGGTGTTTTGTCAGTGCAATCTGTGATTAGTTTCGGTATAAAGGCAAAAATACCTTTGGTAACATAAGAAGTCCCTTTAAGCGAGGCACTGCGCTGCCTGTTCAGTCTCTTTCCTCTCAGTGTGGGTCCTCATTGCTGCTCACTTGAATAGCACTTGAAGCAAAACAAAGAGAGCTTGGAAAAAGTCATACTTGAACATTGCTTGGGTCAGTTGCTGTTTGTTTGTTTGGTGATCCTGTCCTAACCCATTTCACCGTGTTCATTTCTATTATGTTGTTTATAGTCGACTAAGTTTGTGGGCAGCAGTTTTTGTTCTTCTTTTTTTGGGTTGCCTGAGTTTACATATCTTTAGTTGAAAATTATATGTAGAGTTTTTCTGTAAATTAAATGAGCTAAAGTTTATTCATGTGATTCTTTTTGTGTCACATCTGTGCCGTGTTTGGTAGCAAGGAAACGTGCAGATCTTGATGTTTTCTTCAATGATTTAGTGTTCTCAAACAAATGAGGGGTGGGAACGTACAGAATGTACTGTTCTGAGTGTGAATATCTACAGACCGCGCATGACATTACAAGACGCACGTCTAGCTGGAGCATTTCCTTTTAAGAGGTCAACAGTTTATGACACGCTTTGTAAGTATTAACTTCAAAGTTGTTTGCTCATAGCTAAAAGTCTTAAAGCTTTTTCCTGTGAGTTGCAGAAGCCTGTAACTTTAGTCCACATTCTTTGTACACAAGACAGAGAACAAAAATGGTTTCCCTACCAAATTTCCATGTCTTACTCTCAGTTCAAAACATCCCACTCAGAACATATTGTGGTGTGCCTACACATGTTTATGTCTTTCATTTCCTCC